CCCCCCCCCCCCCCCCCCCCCCCCCCCCCCCCCCCCCCCCCCCCCCCCCCCCCCCCCCCCCCCCCCCCCCCCCCCCCCCCCCCCCCCCCCCCCCCCCCCCCCCCCCCCCCCCCCCCCCCCCCCCCCCCCCCCCCCCCCCCCCCCCCCCCCCCCCCCCCCCCCCCCCCCCCCCCCCCCCCCCCCCCCCCCCCCCCCCCCCCCCCCCCCCCCCCCCCCCCCCCCCCCCCCCCCCCCCCCCCCCCCCCCCCCCCCCCCCCCCCCCCCCCCCCCCCCCCCCCCCCCCCCCCCCCCCCCCCCCCCCCCCCCCCCCCCCCCCCCCCCCCCCCCCCCCCCCCCCCCCCCCCCCCCCCCCCCCCCCCCCCCCCCCCCCCCCCCCCCCCCCCCCCCCCCCCCCCCCCCCCCCCCCCCCCCCCCCCCCCCCCCCCCCCCCCCCCCCCCCCCCCCCCCCCCCCCCCCCCCCCCCCCCCCCCCCCCCCCCCCCCCCCCCCCCCCCCCCCCCCCCCCCCCCCCCCCCCCCCCCCCCCCCCCCCCCCCCCCCCCCCCCCCCCCCCCCCCCCCCCCCCCCCCCCCCCCCCCCCCCCCCCCCCCCCCCCCCCCCCCCCCCCCCCCCCCCCCCCCCCCCCCCCCCCCCCCCCCCCCCCCCCCCCCCCCCCCCCCCCCCCCCCCCCCCCCCCCCCCCCCCCCCCCCCCCCCCCCCCCCCCCCCCCCCCCCCCCCCCCCCCCCCCCCCCCCCCCCCCCCCCCCCCCCCCCCCCCCCCCCCCCCCCCCCCCCCCCCCCCCCCCCCCCCCCCCCCCCCCCCCCCCCCCCCCCCCCCCCCCCCCCCCCCCCCCCCCCCCCCCCCCCCCCCCCCCCCCCCCCCCCCCCCCCCCCCCCCCCCCCCCCCCCCCCCCCCCCCCCCCCCCCCCCCCCCCCCCCCCCCCCCCCCCCCCCCCCCCCCCCCCCCCCCCCCCCCCCCCCCCCCCCCCCCCCCCCCCCCCCCCCCCCCCCCCCCCCCCCCCCCCCCCCCCCCCCCCCCCCCCCCCCCCCCCCCCCCCCCCCCCCCCCCCCCCCCCCCCCCCCCCCCCCCCCCCCCCCCCCCCCCCCCCCCCCCCCCCCCCCCCCCCCCCCCCCCCCCCCCCCCCCCCCCCCCCCCCCCCCCCCCCCCCCCCCCCCCCCCCCCCCCCCCCCCCCCCCCCCCCCCCCCCCCCCCCCCCCCCCCCCCCCCCCCCCCCCCCCCCCCCCCCCCCCCCCCCCCCCCCCCCCCCCCCCCCCCCCCCCCCCCCCCCCCCCCCCCCCCCCCCCCCCCCCCCCCCCCCCCCCCCCCCCCCCCCCCCCCCCCCCCCCCCCCCCCCCCCCCCCCCCCCCCCCCCCCCCCCCCCCCCCCCCCCCCCCCCCCCCCCCCCCCCCCCCCCCCCCCCCCCCCCCCCCCCCCCCCCCCCCCCCCCCCCCCCCCCCCCCCCCCCCCCCCCCCCCCCCCCCCCCCACCCCCCCCCCCCCCCCCCCCCCCCCCCCCCCCCCCCCCCCCCCCCCCCCCCCCCCCCCCCCCCCCCCCCCCCCCCCCCCCCCCCCCCCCCCCCCCCCCCCCCCCCCCCCCCCACCCCCCCCCCCCCCCCCCCCCCCCCCCCCCCCCCCCCCCCCCCCCCCCCCCCCCCCCCCCCCCCCCCCCCCCCCCCCCCCCCCCCCCCCCCCCCCCCCCCCCCCCCCCCCCCCCCCCCCCCCCCCCCCCCCCCCCCCCCCCCCCCCCCCCCCCCCCCCCCCCCCCCCCCCCCCCCCCCCCCCCCCCCCCCCCCCCCCCCCCCCCCCCCCCCCCCCCCCCCCCCCCCCCCCCCCCCCCCCCCCCCCCCCCCCCCCCCCCCCCCCCCCCCCCCCCCCCCCCCCCCCCCCCCCCCCCCCCCCCCCCCCCCCCCCCCCCCCCCC